TGGAACTCTATGGGAAACCGCTTTCTCTTGGGACGTGGCTTTGATCCATAGGAGTAGGTCCTATTAGGCGGTTAAGCCTCTTGGAAGTCTACTTTGGCTCCTAGTGGCTGCATAGATAAACCTTGATGCGCTCTTTTTCGCAACACTATAAGTCGGTTTTGCAATGATTTTCTTCAAGGATTTTTTTTTTAAGCTTCCTAATCATTTGTCAGCGACCTCGGATTCTCTCGAGGTTTTTTCATCTAATCCCCTGTGTGGCATCACCCTTAACGCACTATTTTGGCTCAGAACTGCAAAAATGCCGTTTGCTGAATTCACACGCGCAAAACCTAAGCAAACGTATTATGCCTTAAGTAGATGGTCATATTCGGGTTGCGACTAAACGGCGGTAGGATAATCCAGTCCTGTGTGTTGGGCAAATGCAGACAAATTGGCATGAGCAATCAGCTTTTATGGCTATATAAATTATATATATATCGTGCCCTGCCAGGAGACAGGAGAGATTAAATCTGGGGGACCCGACTGCATAACAACTGGCCTTCAGTGCATTGCAGCTTTTTGTTTTGGAAAGAAGCCAGTCTTTAGGGACCATTTCTTGAAACCCTGGTGGAATGGAGGAAAGCCTATACTGGCAAAGATTTGGGGCTCCTAGTATTTAAAACAGCACAAACGCTAGCGTGTTTGTTCCTAAAATTGCAGATTTTGTACTTTTAAAAGCATGAATGCATGCGTGAACCAACGTTATTGGAAACAAGTTTACAGTTCTGGAAATGTTGATTCAGTGGCCTGGCCATCAGATTTACCAAGATAGGGTTTGGTTTTGAGAAGAATCTTTACCAATTTGCAGATGGAAATCTGATGATACTTTTCTGAGTTCCAGTCAATCGAGTTGAAGCCAAGAGATTTTTAAAAAGAAACTCTGGAACAGCAGTGTCTAGTGCTGCTATGTTTACTTCTACCGCTCATGTCCTAATGTACTGTACCTTTTATAAGGACTCAAGGACCCATCTCATAACACCTCACCTGATAAAATATCATGGAAACACCAATCACTTGCGTGTACAATTGCTGTTATTGGATCAGTCCAATGTAGTCTTTTTCAATGTAGCCAAATTTTGTTATTGTGTCCACAAAATTAGGCAGACTCTGCAATCCACCATCACATTGTTAAATATTATCTTGTCTTTTTTTTCCATTTCATTTCGCTTATTTGTAATGCTGGACTATAATAAAATTACTGGTATAGAAACATGATGTACAGCATGACTAAGACTTACGTTCCTATCAGAACTTATAAAACAGCATCTTATTTAAATAAATGCCTAGGATATCCTGGGTGGACTACAGAAATATATTCCCTAAACTTTGAGACTTTTTCTGCCGATGGTTTTGTGAATAAGTAAAATTATAATCTTTATTGTCATTGTACTTAAATACAACGAAATTGGAATAACCTTTAGTTTTACAAGAAAGAAGACAGGTTTAAAAAATTCTAAGAAAGGAAACAGGTGGATGAATAAGAGCTCAGACTGAAACAGCAGAAATAAAGTTAGAAATCCATAACAATTGCTGAAAGGAGCCTGACGTGATTGCATTTGGCTTGAAAATATAATTGAAGAGTCAATGGAATATTAATTGTTTGATCATTCAAGCCACATAAATCAAGTACAAAAAACCCTGATTACAATCCAATGGTAACAGTGAACCAAGTTGAACACTTATAAAAAATTAATAGTAACCATGGGAGATGATTCAGATTGCAACTACTGGAGTTCTTTCTTTCACTTTCCCTATTTAGTGAATCCAAAAATAAATTTGAAACATGGCATTTTATATAAAGTATTTTCAGTCTGGACACCATAGTGCATATGTCCAAACACATATTTTAAATTTAATTTTTTAAACAAGGTTTTTTTAAAAAATCTTTAATTTTTTAAATTACTTTTTAAAACCCATACAAATATTTTAATGGTAGATGCAAATATATTACCCTATCTAAATTACTTTTCATTTAAAAAAAAAACCTATACTAAATCCAAGAGCAGGACAGGACATCAATCATAGCAACCCAAGTTGCATCAATCATAGGGACCCAAGTACATAAAGGTATCTACGATAACAACCTTAGCAATTCAAAGTTACAATGGCACTGAAAACCGTGTCTTAGAACCAGTCCTTATTCTTACAACCACTGCCGCATTTCCACGGTCACGTGATCAAAAACCTTCCTAGCTAGCTCCTGACCAGCAAAGTCAATTGGGAGCTGGATTTGCTTAACCACCATATGATTCACTTAACTGCAATGATTCACTTAACCATGACAAAAAAGGTTGTAAAATCAGATGCGACTCAATTTCACAACTGCTTTGTTTAGCAATGGAAATTCTGATTCCAAGTGTGTTGTAAGTTGACTACTACCTATATTTATGTGATGTCATTGCACGCATGCTGTGATTTGGGATTAATCCACTTTGCTATGGATGTTGTTAATCATGATCCACCAGGCACATAGCATAAGCTACATTACAAGCTTATCATTTCTTTCCAAACCAGCTGGCATTTATGAAACTGATGTATCTAGAATTAATAAAAACCAATAATAACACTAACTCAAGCTATTTCAGAGTCTAAAAAAATGTTGGACAATTTCTTATAGCCTTGGTTAGGCAAATACTTAAGTCAAATTTCAGATTTACTGAGTTACAGGAAAAATGGGAAGTTTTGAATTACCTTACTTAATTAGAAAGTTAAGTGCAAAGGGTATTCATGTTTATATAATAGTTTGTAAGTGGCATGCTATATTGTTTCAATTAAATTCAATTTGTTTTTCTGTCGCAAGTCATAAACAGTAATAGCTGCAGGCATATTAAAACATTGACAGGTTGTTAATTAATCTTTTGAAACACGGCAAATAAAATTTTCAATTACATCTGTACACTCACTATTAACCAATCTATCAATTTAAAGTTAACAATAAAATGGAAAAAACTGAATACGAGTCAATCATTGATTCACCTTCTTTCTCTTCGCTTTTAGTTTCAAGAATGCAAACAGAAAAAAAAATCCAACAATTCATTAACATACACTATTAAGACCTTTCCACTGCTTCTAAATTACTTTTCCATTCTTATATATTAACTAGGCCAAAGCCTGATTAGTCTTTTTTTAGTATGTTTTCAAAATGAGAATTGTTGGTGTTTTACAAGCAGTAAAAATATTGCAATCTTAGGATTATTTATATATTGCATAAAAAACTAGGTATTTCTGTGAATCTGTGTTTGTTAGTAAATGTTGCCACTCATAAAATTGTTGTATCAGTACTCAAAAACTGACTCCTTTAAAACTCATAGGGATTTTCTTCTGAGAAATAACCACAGATTGGGCTCTTAGTACAATCGGTGAAATGGCCCAGTAGCAGTAATTATTTCTAAGCCTTGCTCAATAAAATTCAGTAACACACTATTGCAAACCATTGCACATCCACATAATTAAACTACTCTTAAACACTATTCAAATTAGAAAATGCAAGATTTTAAACCAGTAGCACATATGGACAGTTTGCAGTGAAAACCTGTCAAATTAAGTGATATTCAATCTCTTATCAAGCTCTATGTGAGGTTATATATTATCCTCAGGAAGTGGAAAAAGCAAAATCTTGCTTTCTCTAATAATTTTTTTAGTTTAATAACACAAGATGCAATAACATAATGTTAGAAAATAAACATGCATTAGATATACTACAAAACTGTATTCTCGGAAAAATTGTTCGTTACAATTGCATAATGACAAGATTTTTTTCCCTTTTAAAAGCATTCTGCCTGAAAAAAGGTGAAAAGGGATGAATATTGAATTCACTATTTTTCAACCTCAGTAAGACTTTTAGCATTCTTGGATATTTTTAAAAAAACTAGTTATCACAAAAATTTCGCACTTTTTTTCCATTTCAAGATGCAACTGATTTCTATTTACAATAATTTGTCAATAAATTTTAATATTCAAAAATTTACATTCATAAAAGTGTTGCAGAAATTTATGTTTACTTTTTTAAAAATGTACATACAAGGAAGTCCCATGTAAAAGGTTCACTGAAGAACTGAACCAATAAAAAAGGGCAATTTTATTAAATTTTTCAAAACTCCACTTGAAGGCAGCTCACATTTCAACATTCAAAAATCCTTAATTGCTTGCTTATGAAAACTAATGTTCCAGTAATAAAGGTGAAAATGTAAACTAATGTCCTATTGAGATCAGTAGAAAAATGTAGTTTCCACAGGCAGAGTATATTCAATAATGCTTCTCTAGAAAGTAGTTCAGCTTGAATGTAGTGACGTAACCAACAGGTGTCTCAAAAGAGTGGTCTTGAACAAACCTATATACTTATTATAGTTATTTTAGCAGCCAGCAGTTTTCCAGTTCAGCTTTTTAGAGTTCTAAAGAGATCTATCAAATTAATACCTTAGACATTGAAATTTAGAGTTTTTGGCATCTAAAGACACATAAAAATGTAGTCAATATAACATTTGCAGTCTAAATCCAGCAATTGCACATAACTGTGCTTAAATCTGTTCTGAAATAATTAGGTACCCAAAATAAGAAAAATAGAAAAAAAAACATTAAAAATATTGCACAGCCACATACCTAGAAAGTAAAGTTGATGTTAAAAAAGCTCTTCACATGGATGATATAAATTATCTTCCATATAAAAAAGTATAAATATCTCTTAAAATACCGCAGTAACTACAGTTTAATATCACACATTATTTATCTGTTAATGAGGTAATAACCAAGTCTGTTACAATGTTTTTATTCCTACTGGAAATATTTTAGGGCAGCAACTAGAAAAAACTTTTCCAAAAATATGTCTGAATCCAAAACAGCAATGTGTGCAGCTCTTCCTATCAGAGAATCAGCTGTGTTTGGCAGTGCACAATGTACATTGTATCGAATTAAATTGCAATCTTTGCTTTGAAGAACAGGCAGAAGCATATTCTGGATCATTTCAGCATATATTGGTCCTGTAAAAGAAGAGCCCACATTATTTATTTAATTAAGCACTGTCTGTATTTCCTTTCTACCATGCAATTAAGAGAGCATATACCATGTTTAAGTGTTATCAATTGAAATCCAGTTGTAATACTCCCAAGCAAAAAAGTCTTAGACTATAATTAGCCAACAACTATATGAACTATCGTATTTTTCAGAGTATAAGACGCACCAAGGTTTTGAAGAGGCAAATTAAAAAAAAAAGGTTTTTGTATTCTGCAAACCTCCCCAAAAAAGGTTGTTTTTCGAGAAAACGAGCCCATTTTTTTTCAAAAAAAGGCATGAATAGCCTTTAGGAGGCTTGCAGAGTGCACCTTGGGGGGTGCCCCCCCCAAACGAGCAAAAAACGGCCAGTTTTTGGTAAAAAAAGTTGCATGCATACATAGCATTTAGGAAGCATATAGAGTATTCCTGATGTCTTGGGGGGGGGGCAAAATTGAGCAAAAAAGGGCCTGTTTTTCACTCATTTCTGCCTTCCCCAGCTTCCAGGAGCTCTCTGAAAGCCTTCTACAGGCTCTGCACGTCCATTTTGGTGAAGGGGCGGGGCTTCAGGAGGCAAAAATTGCTGTATTCAATGCATAAGATGCACCCAGATTTTCAGCCTCTTTTTTGAGGGAAAAAGGTATGTGTTATACTCCAAAAAATACGGTACTTCCTTTAGCTTTAAAAGCCCTGTTTTACTGGCAGAGAAGTTAAGTGTGTCCCTAAAAAAGGAAACCCCATAAGGTGCCATAGTAAAAAAACTCAAAAGATCAGCTGCCAAATACTTGCTGCATTTCAGTAAAAGGACAGCAAGCAGGGCTTCAGGAGTTAAGCAAGCATCTAAGAAGGCAGATTTATACATGTGTACATAAAGAAAGACCACTGATGTTTTCAAAATAATTATTATTTTAAGCATAAAATAACTTCCAAGGTAAAGAAATAAGATGGCTGCTCCAAATAAGGTTAACATTGACAGCTATTTTATAATTTTGGGTTCATTAATGGCAATTTTACAAAATATTGCGACAAAATTCTTTTGATATTTATTGTTTTTAATGGACCAAGATGATACATTGCTTGTCTGTTAGGTTTTAGTCCTAACTACAATACCCATGCAAACAAATATGAGAGCATTTAAAAAACAGTATTAATGATATTTGAGAAAATAATGACAAGTCGTCCTAAAAATATTTTGTTGGCCAAACCAACTTTTCTTTTTTAAAAAATCAGCTAGATTTTTATAAAGGTTTTTTGAGGGGCCCATCACATTATTTTTCATTAAATGAACTCCGAAAGCACTGGCTTTTTAAATACAGGCAGCCCCCAGATGTACAAGCCCTGACTTAGCAAAAGAAATGCTACAGAAGCAGGTATGCAAATAGCAGTTTTCATGCTTGTGTATTGCTGTGTAACAGATTATTGTATTTGCTTTTTTTAATTTATGTTTAGCTGGCCATAATTGCTATTGCAAAATGGCCATCATATAAAGAATATATATATATATATATATAAATAAAATGTACACATGCCAACAGTGTGCCATCTAGACACAGTCTA